GGGAGGGGCAGAGAGAGAGAGAGAGGGAGACCCAGAATCTGAAGCAGGCTCCAGGCTCTGAGCTGTCAGCACAGAGCCCGATGCAGGGCTCAAACTCATGAATGGTGAGATCATGACCTGAGCCACAGTTAGACACTTAACTGACTAAGCTCCCCAAGCGCCCCTGAAAAACGTCTTTACAACAATCCTTAATTAGTCTAGTTTGGACATGTCTGCTATATTGACTCCTAGGCGAGTTATTTTCAACTCTGGTTGAAACTCTGGTTTTTTATAAATGTTTGGCCCCCCCCTTTTTTTTCATTTATCAAAAAGTGGTGAAAATTAGTGGCACCTGGGTGGCTCAGTCAGTTGAGTGTCTGACTTCAGCTCAGGTCATGATCTGGCAGCTTGTGGGTTCGAGCCCCGCATCGGGCTCTCCACTGTCAGCACAGAGACCACTTTGGATCCTCTGTTTCCCTCCCCTCTCTGCCCACCCTCCGTTTGTTCTTGGTCTCAAAAGAAATAAATAAAAACTTGAAAAGTAAAAATTGATTAAATATTTTGTAAGGGACTTTGTTCTCTTTGATGCTGTGTGCTGTCTTTGCAAAGAAGTTTACAGAGTTTCCTCAAAGATTACCATTTGGAGAACCTACTTTTTCTTCAGTCCATACAATAAGGAATATAGAGTTGAGATCTCCTTGTGCGGGTTGGCCTATATATATTTTTTCGAATAGCTACATTTCCCCCCCTAAGTTCCTAAGTTTATCTTATGGATAGTCATAAAAACCTGATATATATTCTTAAAAGTTATTTAATGCTGACTTTAAAACTTTTGTAATGGGTGTTTATGAGAGGTCACTGGTCACTAGAGTTTTGGGATGGCAGTCATTTAACAGCATCATTTCCTTAGGTCCTGAGGCTGACTTTGATTTTCTTGGCCTAGATTTCAAGAGGTTTTAAGAAGGTGATGAGTCAGTGCTGAGATTTGAGGCAGGTGGATTCTCTGAAGCATTCAGCCTAACAGCCCCAGGGAGTGGTATTGCCACTTGGCTAATTAGTTCATGCAGCATCCCTTTGGGCTAGTTTAGCAGGATTATCCCTATTTTTACAGATTAAGAAAATGAGGTGTGGGGCGCCTGGGTGGCTTAGTCGGTTAAGCGTCCGACTTTCGCTTGGGTCATGATCTCGCCGTTCGTGGGTTCGAGCCCCGCGTCGGGCTCTGTGCTGACTGCCAGCTCAGAGCCTGGAGCCTGGGTCGGACGGGGACTCGCGTGATCTCTGACCCTCCCCTGCTCACGCTGTCTCTCTCTCCTAGAAATAAATAAAACATTAAAAAAAAATTAAAAAAAAAAAAAAAAGAAAATGAGGTGTGAGGCTTTGAATTGGTTCATGTCTAAAGGTTTGGCTGTCAGTCCTGGAGTTTCAGAATTGTAGAACCTTCAGTCAGTTATTCCGTTTGCATACTTTGGTGTTCTTAATTCAAATATCTATATTTTCAAAGCAACAATTTTATTTTCATTGAGTCTATTTTTATAGCAAACAGTTTCATACTTTTTGCGTCACGTAGGTTTTAACTTGAACGTGCCCCAGCTGTGATTATTGTCCTACTAAGGGTGATGTGGAATGTGTGAACTTGAGTTAAATCACAAAGAGACTTACCAGGCTCACATGAAGCATTGTGGGCATTAAAAATTGGTTGATACGGCCATCTGTGACATAAACACAATCTAAATAAGAAATGAGGGACGGGTACCTGAGTGGCTCAGTTGGTTGAGCATCCGACACCAGCTCAGGTCATGAGCTCATGGTTTGTGAGTTTGAGCCCCACATCAGGCTCACTGCTGTCAGCACTGAGCCCTCTTCACATCCCCTGTCCCGCACAGTCTGCTCCTCCCCCACACAGTCTGCTCCTCCCCCACTCATGCTCTCTCTCAAAAATAAATAAAAACATTAAAAAAAAAAAAAAGAAATGAGAGACACAGGCATCTTTTGGAAAGCACCTGTGATTTCTAGCTGAAGACCAGAGTCCTGGCTCACCTCATTTGAACACAGTGAACACGGCTAACACCACTTTCACCATCTTTCTCTTTAGAACTAGTTTCAAGAAAAATGTTAGCCAAATATTTATTCAGTTCTCTCTGCACCTACTTACCTACCCACATTTTTACCTATCTGATTTCTGCTGAGGGAATGACTTCTCTCCAATCAGACTGAACCACTTCTCAATATCCAAATAAACTGGTTTTTCTAAGACCGTGCCAAACTCCATGAAAAATCTAGGCAAGAGGTCAACTCTACACGTGTCCTTCTTTTAGTCTGTGGTGATTCCCAACTGGGAAAACCAGTCAAGAGTATTATTACTAGTGCTGGGTCCAAAGTGAAAGCTTGAGTTTTGAATTGATACCTTCTCATTTGACTTGGTTCGGTAGTCATGGATTTGACAACTAGTGTTGGTTAGCCATTGGTCAGCCACTAATGAAAGCCATTCCTGGTCCCTCACATTCCATCCCGGGGTGTGTTGATGCTTAACACACCATAACTAGGCGTGTTGATGCTTAACATGAAACTCACACTTCAGATACTGTTTAAGTTTCAAGGGCAAGGGAAATTGTATGGGCTAATAAGAAAATCTACAAGTCTTAAAAGCATTCTAGTTTATTATGTTTTCCTTAGCTAAAGCCTTAATTCTCTAGATTTGTACCAAGCAACCAGTATTTCATTCCTGAAAAGGATTCTGGAAAAGCATCCCTTGTGTGCAATTGATTTGACTTATTTTTGTGTATGTGATTGAAGTTATTATTTGAAAATGCATTGTAAATTAAAAATCATACTTTTTCCAAAAAGTTTGAATTACTTTATACAATGGTCTTTTTTCTTCTTTTTTCAATGGACACATATTACTTGGATTATTTTTTGAGATTTGTAGTATGTTTGAAAACAGCCTAGTTAATTTAATTATAATGACTCAAAGAAATATCTCTTTAAGATTAATCTTCAGTTCAACTGGTAACTCGTGAACATTTGGGGAAAAGTTTACCATGTAGAATTGTTATTCAATTGTTATTCAAAACGACTGGTTTGATTTAATTCTAGTTACAGCGTATATACTCAGAACTGTATAATTATTTTTAAATCATGCATTTATGAATTTCTGCATATTATAGATATGTATGCTCTAAAGAAAAATAGCCTATTTTAGTCAATTTAACAAGAGTTTTGAAGTTACTTGTTTATATAACAAGATTCACCTTTCCCTTCAAGAGTCCAACAAGCAAGGTCTTAAGGTTAAGAGGCAAGACATTTGGAAAAAATTACTGGAGTATCAAGTATGCGCGCAGTCCATTACTAGATAATATTGAGAGTAACACAAAAGGGACACAATAGGGGACAAACAATTGAAAATCAAATACAGTAAAACCTTGGATTGCAAGCAACCTGTTCCGCAAGTGTTCTGCAAGACGACCAAACATTTCTGATAAATTTTAACTTGATAAATGAGCGATGTCTTGCCATACTAGTCATATGTGATCACAAGTGAGCCGCTGGTTCTTGAAATTCGCTTTGATATACAAGTGCTTTGGATGATAAGCGTGTTTCCAGAACGAATGATGCTCGCAAACCAAGGTTTTACTTTAATAAAATGTGTCCTACGTCAGACGATGGTAAGTGCACTGGGAAAACGGCTGGGAAGGGCAGTAGGAAGCCAGGGATGTGGCAGCAGCTTTAAGTCAAGCAAATGAGTAATGGATGGAGTAGAGGAAGCTGGGGACAAAATCAAGGTCAGAGTTGGCTTTGTAAAGGGATAAGGATCCTCCCAAGACAGGCAGAAAAGGAGAAAAGTGGCGAAGACGTGGATGAGGTGGGTTGTGGGGTGAAGGCAGCTTGGCCCCAGTTTCCTTCAGTTTGGAAGAAAGTGACCTGCTGAGTGAGTCTGGAGTGGAAGTTTAGAGTTCAGTGTGAGGGGGGATTCAGACAGCTCATTGCTGGGAAAAACACAAGTAGTTGACCAGGGAGGAGATGGCTGCTGGAGCCAAAACGTGGGCTCAGGGACAGGTGCCCTGGGGGTGGGGGGTCGTGCTTCTCACCAGCAGCAGCCATGAGCCTGGAAGTAAAGACACTGGAAAGTGGGCTGTGGGAGAGGGGGGAGTGGAGTCCTTGGGGAGAATGTGAGGGGTCGCGTGCCCTGGGGGACCCGGTGCTGAATCCGGAAGGGAGTATGCTGTGGCTGTAGGATTACTTTGTTTCTGTTTTATGGAAGGGAATGTACGGGGCGCCTGGGAGGCTCAGTCAGTTAAGCATCTGACTCTTGACATCGGCTCAGGTCATGATCTCACAGTTGGTGAGTTCGAGGCCCATGTTGGGCTCTGCACTAACGGTGTGGAGTCTGCTTGGGATTCTCTCCCTCCCTCTCTCTGCCCCCTCCACCCTGCTCCAAATAAATAAATAAATAAACTTAAAAAAAAAATTACTTGGCCAATCACTTCCAGGATGTGTCTTTAAAAAAATAAATAAAAAATATAAAGTGTTGCCTTAAAATTCTCATAATAGGCCCAATTGAGGGGCAGTGTGCCAGGGCTTAGGGGAATCTTTCTTGAGAACTTTACTAAGGACACATAATATTGCTAGAAAGGGGGCCCAGAGGGTTTATGTAAGTGGAAAAAAAAAAAGAAAGAGGAAGATTTTAATAAGTCCATTCCCTGGAAACCTGTAGTTGTATTTATTTATTTTTTTAACATGTTTTTTATTTATTTTTGGGAGAGAGAGATAGACAGCCTGAGCAGGGGAGGGTCAGAGAGAGAGGGAGGCACAGAATCCGAAGCAGGCGCCAGGCTCTGAGCTGCCAGCACAGAGCCCAATGTGGGGCTTGACCCCATGAACCGTGAAATCATGACCTGAGCCAAAGTCGGACGTTAACTGACTGAGCCACCCAGGCGCCCCTGGAAACCTGTAGTTTTAGTTCCTAGGGGAAAAAAAAAACAGACAACGGATGCTCAGTGATTTGCACCTGTTTGCTCTTCAAGGTAAAGCCGGTGATGCACAGCAGGCTCAACGTGTCGGCTCGCTTCAGAAAAGCGCTTCAGGAGCCCTGCACCATCTTGTAAGTGGGAGCCCTTTTCTCTTTCTTTCTTTGTTTCTTTGTTTCTTTTTCTTTCTTTTTTTTTTTTTTTTTTTTCAAATAGTTTATTGTCAAGTTGGTTTCCATACAACACCCAGTGCTCATCCCCACAAGTGCCCTCCTCCATGCCCATCTCCCCCCTCCCCTCCCCCACCCCCGTCGGCCCTCAGTTTGTTCTCAGCATTCAAGAGTCTCTCATGGTTTGCCTCTCTCCCTCTCCCCACCATTTCCCCCCTTCTTCTCCCCCTGGTTCCTCAGTTAAGTTCCTCCTAATTCTCCTATACATGCAAACCTATGTTATTTGTCCTTCTCTGCCTGACTTATTTCGCTCAGCATAACACCCTCAAGGTCCATCCATGTTGCTACACAGGCCAGATTTCATTCTTTCTCATTGCCATGTAGTATTCCATGCTATAGATAAACCACATCTTCTTGATCCATTCGTCTGTTGATGGACACTTAAGCTCTTTCCATGTTTTGGCTATTGTGGAGAGTGCTGCTATGAACATTGGGGTCCATGTGCCCCTGTGCATCAGCATTTCTGTATCCCTTGGGTCAATTCCTAGCAGTGCTATTGCTGGGTCATAGCAATATTGTTAATTTTTTGAGGAATCTCCACAGTTTTCCAGAGGGGCTGTACCCGTTTACATCCCCACCAACAGTGTAGGAGGGTGCCTGTTTCTCCACATCCTCACCAGCATCTAGAGTTCTCTGATTTGCTCATTTTAGCCACTCTGACTGGCGTGAGGTGGTATCTCAGTGTGGTTTTGATTTGTATTTCCCTGATGAGGAGGGATGCTGAGCATCGTTTCATGTGTCTGTTGGCCATCTGGATGTCCTCTTTGGAGAAGTGTCTGTTCCTATCTTTTGCCCAATTCTTTACTGGGTTGTTTGTTTTTCAGGTGTGGAGTCTGGTGAGTTCCTTATAGATTTTGGATATTAACCCTTTATCTGATATGTCATTTGCAACTATGTTTAATGGGAGCCCTTTTCTATAGAAGTTCGTGGCTTGGTGGCTTTCCTGGCGGGTTGGAATTTGCTCTGTGGCATTAAATGGATAACCGTTTCAGATGGTGTGACTCGATCATTTTCCTTTTTTTTCTGCTCCAGCTTGATAGCCAACGGAGACCTCATAAGTCCGGCTTCTCGCCTCCTCATTCCTAGAAAGGCCCTGAGTCAGTGGGATCATGTCCTGCAAATGATCACGGAGAAAATAACCCTGCGGAGTGGGGCTGTCCACAGGTGCGTCAGAGCAGTCTGCGAGCGGACGGGTTTTGGGACTGTTTAGGGTGACTTGGTGCTTGGAGTCCCTGGTCCCCAGATTGTGAATTTCAGCTCTCCGGTGAGGCTCCGTTTATCTGCCTCAGTTTCCCTATCTGTAAGGTAAGTAATAGCACAGAGTTGTGTCAGAAGTGAGATAGCCCACATAAAGAGCTTAAAAGGGTCCTTGGCACATAGGAACGCATCCTCAAGTGTTGACTGTTTTTGTTCTTTTAGTTTAGAGCCAATAAGCAAATGTCAACTTTCTTTTGGTTGAGAAGGAGTGTTTTTTGAGTGAGCCAGCTTCTTGGCTCTCAACTAACTCCTTTTTTCCCAACAGATATTTTTGATTCCTAGATGATCGAACCTATTTTCCTGGTGTAAAACATTAGACATGAGCAGGTTCATGTGGGTTAGGGAGGAAGGAAGCAGGTTAGAGAGGTAATTAAGCAGGTCGCCTAAACTTCAGAAGTCAAGAGCATTTCCTCAAGTTTTGAAATTCAAAAACTTTTTTAGTGTTTTATTTATTTTCGAGAGAGAGAGAGAGAGAGAATATGAGTATGGGAGGGGCAGAGAGAGGGAGACGCAGAATCCAAAGCAGGCTCCAGGCTCTGAGCTGTCCACACAGAGCCCGATGTGGGGCTCCAACTCCCAAACCGTGAGATCATGACCCCAGCTTAACCGACTGAGCCACCCAGGCGCCCCATGAAATTTAAGTGAAGATTCAAATCGTGGCTTTTAAATTGTGAAGCACGGGAAATTATCCCTTGATGGAGGCTGACTTACTTGTTTTCTTTTTGGTGGAAGAGTTACAAATAATATGTGCAAAGACAGAATATATTAAGAACCTATGTACCGTGTGACACACAGCATTTGAAATCCAGCCCAGAGTTTTCTGGTAGTTCTGCTCAAATCCCGTCTTTCCCTCAGTCTCTCTAACCTTCTCTGCTAGAGGAGAGTACCCTTCCTTTTAAGTTCCTGTGCCTGTTTTCCTATCCGTACGTCTACATATCCTCTTACAGACCTAGCTGATGAAACAAGTTCTCAGAATATTGCATATTCTTTCGGTTACATTTGTATACAGATTAATATACATATATTCACCTCTGTCAATACGCATAATTTCCTAGCCATTGAGATTTTTAAGTATAATCGGGTATAATATGTAAATATAATATAAATATGCATATACATATTTAATATATAGAGAGATGCAGTTGAAAGTAATGCTTCAGATGTGGTAAGAAAAAAATTCAAACTGGGCAAAAGACCTAAAAATAATTTGTCTCACCTCAGCTCTCCAGCCCTTCTCTAATACTTTTCTGCATGATTCCCAAAACATTCTTTGCATTTGGAAGCACGCACATCTTTTATTTCTTAAAAACACAGATGAGCACACGTGTGTATACACACACACACACACACACGATTAAGTATATAAATACTCCTTGATGTTTTTCCTGTAACAGCAAGTCTTGGAGCACGAATAGCTCTCTGTCCTATTATCTTTAATGACTACAAAATTATCTTATTATCTATTTAGGATGTGCCCTAATAATCTGCTTTAAGAGTCTCCTCTTGATGGAAATTTGGGTTATTTCCAATCCTATGCTATTACATGTACATGTCTTTGTATGTAAGCAAAGTTTATCAGGAGACTGAAGCCTAGAACTCAAATTGCTTTGTCAGTCATCCATGCATTTAAAATTTTGCTAGAGGGGCACCTGAGTGACTCAGTCGGTTGAGCATCTGACTTCAGCTCAGGTCATGATCTCATGATTCACAAGTTCAAGCCCCACATTGGGCTCTGTGCTGACAGCTCAGAGCCTGGAGCCTGCTTCGGATTCTGTGTCTCCCTCTCTCTGCCCCTCCCCTGCTCATGTTCTGTCTGTCTGTCTCTCTCAAAAATAAATAAACATTAAAAATAAAATAAAATTGTTCTAGATACTGATTCCAGAGTCTGTGCTGATTTGAACTCTTACCTAAAGTACATGAGACAGCCTGGTTTTCCTTCTCTCATCCATGCTGTAAAACTAGCAAACATTTTGTCTTTTTGTTCATTTTGGGTAAGTATTTCATTGTTTCTTGTTTTTTATTTGTTTAATATACAATAGGAACAACCAAACAACACCTGCTGCTCGTTTCTTGTGTGCAAGTGCTCTGCCCTTTAAACTTAATTAATCAGCAGCCCTGTGAGATAAGTAGTGTTATTATTCTTTTTTAGTAGACATGAAACATGCGACAAGCGGAAGGTTACTTCTCCAGGATTAAGCATGTAGAGCTTAGCAGAGCTGGGATTCTAGCTTCCTCAGTAGGCAGTCTGGGTCCAAAGCCTGTGTTCTGAACTACTAAGTTATTCCCTAAATAAATGCCACAAATGTATCTTCCATTGAATATGATCTATCTGTATTACGTTTGCATTTTTATCTCATTGGTTTATAGACACTCTTTACATATTAGGGAAATTGGCTCTTTCTCATACAAGTTTTTTTTTTTTAAATTTTTTTAAAGTTTATTGATTGCTGAGAGAGAGAGAGAGACTGACCGCAGGCAGGGGAGGGACAGAGAGAGAGAGAGAGACACAGAATCTGAAGCACGGTCCAGGCCCTGAGGTGTCGGCACACAGAGCCCAACACGGCTCGATCCCATGAATTGCAGGATCATGACCTGAATGAAGTTGGTCACTTAACCAACTGAGCCATCCAGGCGCCCCTCTCGTATGAGTTTTAAATATATTTCCAGTTTATGCCTTTGATACTCTTTATTTTATTTTATTTTTTGTGGGGGGTATACAGTTAAGTTGAATTGTGGTGCGACTTTTTTTTTACATTTTAAAAAATGTTTTATTTATTTTTGAGAGAGAGAGAGAGAGAGAGACAGCGTGAGCAGGGGAGGGTCAGAGAGAGAGGGAGATACAGAATCCGAAGACAGGCTCCAGGCTCTGAGCTGTCAGCACAGAGCCTGACGTGGGGCTGGAACCCACGAACTGTGAGATCATGACCTGAGCTAAAGTCGGACGTTTAGCTGACTGAGCCACCCAGGCACCCCAAGTGGTGCAAATTTTCAATCTTAACAATCATTAAGTTTTATGACTAGCTTAGATTTTTCCCATTCCAAGACTATAAAAATATTCTGCAGCATCTTTATCTTGTACTTTAAAATTTCATTTAAACATTTGGTCCTTTTGGATTTTATTTTGGTGTCAGGAGTGAAGGCAGATCTCAGTAGTTCTTTCTCTCTCTCTCTCTCTCTCTCTCTCTCTTTTTCTCTCTTACTTAGATATACAGTTGTGTCTTTTAACATATACATAAATGTAATAATCAATAAATAATACATTATCAATAAATAATAATATAAAGCACCCAAAGATGTATACATACAATTGCATGCCCAGATACATCTGTTTATTCATGTACTATTGTGAACAAATTCACACATGCAAATAAGATATTTATATATTTTATATGTATTCTGTATTTATAAATACAGAAATGAAAATATATGCCCCCCATACTTGAATACTTGGAGAACCTTAATTCTCAGTGTGATGCCGGATAGGAGTGAGCTTCGGGAGCTGGCCACTCGGCATGTGCTCATTTTCCTTCAACAGAACATTGAAGAGTCTCCTGGTTGGGCCCTCCCTGTGCTCCGGTAGATGTGTATATCTGAAGCACCCCGTTAAAATTGGTTCAACTCCCTGTGTTGTGTGTCTTGCCTTTTGTGACAAAGGGAGAGAGCAGGTCAAGGAAAGTCCTATGAAAGAAGGCTAAAACCATGGGTTAGAATATACTCAGTACCCGTGACTACCTGCAGAAGAGACCAGTCAAATCTTGGCTATTTCCAGATCCAGAGCGAGGCTGCCTTTTAATTTCAAGCCTGAAAGTGAACTACTGCCTCCGATCTTCCTGTTTTGGAGGAAAATGAACATCTGGGTCCAGGCCAGTGGTTCTCAGCCGGGGACGATTTTGCCCCTAGGGGACTTTTGGCAGTGTCCAGAGTCCTTTTGTTAGTCACGCCTGGGGACGGGGCGCCTTCTGCTTCCATCTAGTGGGTGCTACTAACATCCCACAGTTTGTTTACAGGCAGGGCTCCCTATCCCCCCACACAACTGTCGCATCCAAAATGCCAGTAGCATCATTGCTCAGAGACCCTGGTCTGGGTCAAACGGCAGGAAAATCAGAACATGTGGGTTAAGTGTTGGTATTTGGACTTGTAGGGAGGGAATTAGCGTTCTAAAGAAGGAGCATCTTTATATAAATCAAGCCAAACACATTTCAGCGGTTTTGTGGCTGTTTTCTTTGTCCTTTCTGGCTCCTTTTGATAGGACCATCTACAGAATCAGTAAAGAATCGGACAGTTCAGGGGTGCCTGGGTGGCTCAGTCGGTTAAACGTCCGACTTCGGCTCAGGTCATGATCTCACGGTTCGTGGGTTCAAGCCCCGCCTCGGGCTCTGTGCTGATAGCTCAGAGCCTGGAGCCTGTCTTCGGATTCTGTATCTCCCGCTCTCTCTGACCCTCCCTCCCCTGCTCACACTGTCTCTCTCTCTCTCTCAGAAATACATAAAACATAAAAAAAAAAAAAAAAAGAATCAGTTCATTGCCCCCTTTTTTTCCCTTTGCAAATGTCGCTAACCTTTATTAGGTAATATAAGAAGTCTGAGAATTTTTTTTAATGATTATCTTGAAATCCTTCCAGTCAGTAATTCCTGTTTATAACCTTTGAGAATAGTTATTGTTCTCTGGTGTTGTTTTCTAATAGTCTGCTTTTTCTTGCTCTTTAGGGGGAACAAAAAAAGATTCTGTGGACACGTTTAAATCGTCTAGTAAAGTTATCACTGTTCTTTTAATAAGTAACATATTCCTTGTAGTTTGCAGCTGCAGTTTTACAGTAAAGGGAGGTCCTTGTGAGATCCCTTGATTCTGGGAAGATGAGGGGAGGCAAAAAAAAAAAAAAAAGTCCCACAAAGGAAGAGGCAGGAATGCTCTGTGGTTCTGCACCATTAATCCTGGCAATGGGCTCCTTTGCCTTGTTTCCTGACCCCATTCTGTGTGTATTTGGATGTACTATTTTGGCTGAGGGCTCTCACACAGAACACAGTAAGTTTGTCAACTGACAAATACATTAAGAAAATAAATTGTAAAAGTGGTCACAAAATAGAAATAGAATCGTTCTTCTGTGGGAGTGGAGCTCCATTTAAAGGCTCACACCCCATACGAGTTGGTGGTTTCCAGCCCACATCTTACTATGGTAGCAAGACGGGGACCCCACTGGATGGTTAGGTTTATTGGGATGAAGTCCTGTGTGGAGAGAGAGTAATGACGTTATAAACACTGGCATTTCAATATAGTTATAACAGCTAATGACTTTGAGGCACTTCTAATTCAATAACTAGAATTAGTAACAAATGAGCCAGCGTAAGCGCGGAGGGTTTTTTACTGAACTTTGTAATTGTAAGTAGCCCTCTCATGCTTGTTCAAAGCTGAGTGGTTGGCATTCGTGTTCTGGCAGACTTTACACGTTAGAGGGAAAGCTGGTGGAGAGCGGGGCCGAGTTGGAGAACGGGCAGTTTTACGTGGCTGTTGGCAGAGACAAGTTTAAGAAACTGCCTTACAGTGAGTTGCTGTTTGACAAGTCAACGATGAGGCGGTCGTACGGGTAAGTGTGCATCCTCCTTCCTGGTTCCTCTTCAGTTCTCACTCGAAATAACGAGTCTAATGCTGGCCGCCGGGATATTTTATATAATCTTGCCGATTATCAGTTAGAAATGGAGGATATATATTGATACTGTTTTTTGCCAAGATTGGAGATGTTATTTTGGCACAAAAATAGAATTTTAGGGAATCTATGAAAGTCTATATAGTATTTTTTACCATTTGCTTACGGATTTGCGGTAAATATGAAGACTTATTTTTGTGAAGAAGACACAGGGCAGTGGGCTTCTTTGTAGCATACGTTATTCGATGTTTTAATAATGTCTCCACTGTGTAGCTGGACCAAATCATTGTTTAGTTGGTGCATATGCAGGCATCTAACAGTTTAAAACATTTAAGTTTAAAAACAATATGTTATGCTCCTTTTAATAACAGTAGGAGATAAAAGCGATATAATTCCATTTGCATAAGAAAGTAGAGCAGCAATACAGAGTATAATTATTGCATGCAAAATTTTAAATCTACTTCAAAAAAAACTTTTAAGTTTAATTTTAGTGAGAGCTCGTGAGAGAGGGAGAGAGAATCCCAAGTAGGCTCCAAGCTCAGTGCGAAGCCCAATGTGGGGCTCTATCCCATGACCCTGGGATCATGACCTGAGCCAAAATCAAGAGTCAGATGCTCAACCAGCTGAGCCACCCAGGCGCCCTGAAGATTACACTTTCAACTGCACACAATTCTCTGTACCCACTTTGTTCTCTGTGGAATGTCCTGTGTTTGTGACAGATGCCTCACTCTAGCTGATACATGGCCGGCAGAGGCGTGCGTGCAGAGCCCTGGTGGACGCGGGCGCCCCTGGGCTGTCAGAAAGGGACTTTGTGTGGTTGTCCTCTGCTAGGGTGTGCGACAGACACTGGCACACACACAGCAGAACGTCCACCGGGTGTTCTCCATTAATTTGCGATTTGTGAAGCTTTATCGAGCTATCAAGAGAAGCTGGCCAAGGGTTCCTAAATGAGTAAGAGATGAAAAGGAATTTCAGGGGTGGTGTTTGGGATGTGCAAGAGCACGTTTTCCAGCACGTTAGAGTTATTTCCCAGCAGACTTCTCGATGGCCGTCCTTACCCATCCACGAATGCAAGTCCTTCACAGTCTCTCCTGAGCGACACTGGGTTGGCCGACCATGAGCGTGTCCTTGAGGGCAGTGAGAAATCTGTCGCTCATAGATGGACTCAACTCAGATGGACGAGTAAGACCCACCTTTATCTATGTGTGGTCTTCTTTTCAGAGAGGTTCATTGGGTTCCAAGGTCTCTTCCTAACAACATAGACATCTCTGAAACAGCAGTCTCCTAGCCAAAGAGAACTTATTTTCTTGTTGAGAATGACTGGTTTAGAAGCTCCCTGAGTAGAAACAAGCACCAGTGTTTTACCATTTCTGAGCTTCTGAGGTCGACCCTGCAGACATTATGAAAAGAATGGAAATTGACTGGTTTTGACTCAATGGGGCAAAATCATTACTCGGCTTAGGAAATGGCTTTTTGAAATGCAGAAGGAAAACTGGGGGATTTGAATAAAAATGCCATGAAACAATTCAAGGTGGCTCTGAAAGTATAAGGGAGCATTGATGAAAATAGTTTAACAGTAAAAGTCTTTTGGAGTGGAATTTAGAAATGTTACGGTGGTCTTTGTGAACTTGGGAAAGGCTGTGTGCTTTTCTTGAGACACTGATGTCCATCAGCTTGTCAGTTGGGGTGACGTGTTAACTTGCGTTATGTGTTATTTGAAAATAACTTCAGATTTCTAACTTGAAACTTGTTTCTGCAGTCAGAAGGCTTCTTCACTACCTCCTATCGTAGGATCCAGAAAGTCTAAAGGGAGTGTAAGTATCAGATGCTTTACTCATTAATGTTCTATATTTCTATACAATACAGAGAGACTGTCCTCTGGGTTTCAATTAAATTTGAAGAAATAAAACTTCAGCTGCCTTGTGGCATATAAGCAATTATGTGAAGCAACACTAGAACATTAGTGATATAACTAACTTCTTCAAAGTGAACCAGCATTTTTAATGTTTTTTAAAGTTTATTTATTTATTTTGAGAGAGACAGAACGGGAGGAGGGGAGGGAGGTAGAGAGAGAGAGCGAGAGAGAGCGAGAGAGAGCGAATCCCAAGCAGGCTCCCACGCGGTCAGTGTGCAGAGCCTGACCTGGGGCTCAAGTCCACCAACTATTAGATCATGACCGGAGCTGAAATCCAGAGTTGGCTGCTTAACCATCTGAGCCACCCAGGAGCCCCTTGAGCCAAGATTTTTAAAATATAGATTTCACAGTAGGCAATCTTTTTCCTTCTGTACAGACCTGATATACTTATCTCGCAGTTGAAATCTGGGCAGCGATACGTAAAAGCAGAAGAAATGCAGGGCGCCTGGCTGACTCAGTTTGTTAATTGTCTGACTTTGGCTCAGGTTGTGTGATCTTGTAGTTTTTGAGTTCGAGCCCTGCATTGGGCTCTGCTCTGCCTGCATGGAGCCTGCTTGGGATTCTCTCTTCCCCCCCACCTCTCTCTCTGCCCCTCCTCATATTCATGCTCTGTCTCTTTCTCAAAAATAAGTAAACATTAAAAAAAAGTAAAAATTAAAACCCCCAAAAGAAGAAATGCTATATTAGGTCACATTAGTGGTCCTGCTCAGTCTGATTTTCTCTCTCTGACAAAGACTAAAGAGGAAGTCTTTGTTAAAAAAAAAAAAAAAAGATATTCCTGAGTTATATTCCTTTAAAAGACTGAGAAGCACTCTAAAGTTTCCCCGATCCATCATTCGTCTATTTGTTAATGCGGCAAATGTCCCTTGAATGGTTCTCCTGGGGGACTATGACAAGCATTTCTTCAGTCCTAACCTCGTAGCCTGGGGACCTCCTCACGGCGGGGGGGTGGGGGGTGGGGGGGGGAGAGTGGGGTGAGGGGAGGGGGGGTGACTTTCTCCCAGCCGGAGTGCTGTTGGGACAGCTTTTTCTGGCTGAGGCTTCTCTTTCTGCTCTTTTGATCGAATTGCCTGACCAGCTGTGATCAGAATGGACCTGACATATGTCCCCCTGTCTGAACATTCCCCCCAACTTAACTACGCAGAATTCCTCTGTTGGTTTTTGTGGGGTAAGCTCCTGCTGGCACTGACGCTGTCTCCCGGGGGTGGCTTAGGCATCTCCCCGCCCCCCACCCCGCTTCTGGATGTTGTGCGTGATTCTTTGGAAAAAGAAGTCCTTGTGTGCGCTGAACTCAGCATAACAACAGACAAAGATCACGCATTCGTTAGCAGAGGCTCTTACACTGTTTACGACGACGTTTTGCCCTTCGGAAACTTACAGTCTGGTTGAGGCAGAGAACATGGCTGGGAAGGGAGCTGCTTCGCTGGAGCTGAGAGCTAGTGCAGTGAGGCTGGTAAATACGAGGCAGGGAGGCCAGTGTGCGTTCTTCAGAGGACATGAAGGAAGTTCAACGGGAGGCTATGCCTTTGAGGGTTTTGCGATTCATGCGATGGTTACTGAGGTGGAGGCGTTTCAGTGGAAAGCGTGGGGTGAGAAGGGAGCCAGGGCAGCACGGGAGACTCTAGAAGGCGAACCTGGTTAGACGGGGGTGTCAGGACAGGTCTTCTCCAGGGACGTGGCCTCTAGACAAAAGCTCCCCATCATGACACTCTTCGATCTCCTAGAAAGCAGACTCGAAATTGCATTTCCACGCTCTGACTTAGAAAAATGACGGGAGAGCTTGCGTCTTTCCACAGCGCTCCGGAATCGGCCCCTCCGCCCATGCATCTGCTCATTCGGGTCTCCATTCAACACCTATGCATTGAGCACTTCCGTGCCAGGAGCTACTGCCCTGTAGCCGTGAACAGACATGGTTTCAGACGTCACAGAACTTTCGTTCCAGTGCTTGTGTGTGTAGGGAGGCAGGAGAATGGGGTAGGCGGACTGTCAACCTCTGAACAGATAGACATTTTCAGATGGTGATACGCACTGTGAGGAAGAGAGAATGTAGCAGGGCGCTAAGTGATATAAAATTCTCTGAGACCTTAATGACGTAAGGGAGCCAGTCCTAAAGGCGGGGCAGGGGAGGGAAGAGCCTCGGTGGCAGAGGAAACAGTCACGAAGGCCTTGCTGGAAAGCCTGGCATGCTGGCGTGTGAGGAGGGCAGGACGAAGGCCAGAGTGGTCCGGGATGAAATTGCAGAGGTGCGTACAGTCGGGTCATACAGACCATGATGGGAGTTTGGATTTTATTCCTTGATGGGATACCATCTGAGGGTTAGAAGAGACTGATATTGCTTGACTTTTATGTTTATTTTTACTTTGAGTTGGAGAGAGAGTAGGGGAGGTCGGAGAGAGGGTCCCAAGCAGGCTCCACGCTGGCAGCGCAGAGCTCGACATGGGCCTTGGTCTCAAGAACCGTGAGATCATGACCGGAGCCGAGATCAAGAGTCAGATGCTTGGGGCGCTGGGGTGGCTTAGTCGGTTAAGCGTCTGACTTTCGCTTAGGTTATGATCTCGCGGTTCGTGGGTTCGAGCCCCGTGTCGGGCTCTGCGCTGACTGCCAGCTCAGAGCCTGGAGCCTGTTTCAGAGTCTGTGTCTCCCCCTCTCTCTGATCCTCCCCTGCTCACGCTGTCTCTCTCTCTCTCCTAGAAATAAATAAAAATATTAAAAAAAAAAAGTCAGATGCTTAACCGACTGAGCCGCCCAGGTGCCCCATGTTTGACTGACCTGAGAAGTCACTCTGCGTGCGGTGTCTGCCGAGAAGCGGGTTGGGGAAGAACAGAGGCAGGGGGCTGTGGGGTGGCTGGACCCGGGCATGCGCTGCAGGTGACCTGGGCAGGTGGCTGCAGGGGAGATGGACACCTGTGACCATTCGTCCTTGAGTATGTGGTAGCTGCTGTCACTGAGTGATGCATTCATCCGACAGGCATCCCTCAAGTGCCCGTTGTGTCCTGGGTGTGGTGTTAGTGCTCGTGCGGAGAGGAAGCTAGAGGCTCCGGAGAAAACACCAAGTGTATGGAGCTTACCTTCTAGAGGAGGAGGAAGAGAAACAAGACACAGGGCATTTGATATTAATCAGGGTGAGCTGGAGGAAAAAAACATCAAGGAATGGGGCGGGCGAGCGAGGGGTGCGGTATCTCTGGGCGGTCAGGGCAGCTCTTCTAGGAGCTTCTCTCTGAGCAGAGCCCTAATGTGCCTGCCAGTTTGCCCCGAACCTGTTACCCGGCGAGCGAGTGACGGCGGCGAGCTGCATGACGAGACCATCTGTGGTCAGTGATCCCAAAGTCACGAACTTGGTTTTTAACAGAAGGATTCATTTATTCCTGTCCTTTAATTAATTGGGTCCCTGGAGACTGTGCATGTTTTTAAGATCATTAACTGCTTGGCCCCGAGTGAGGTGGGCGGGAAGGGGCTTAGGGGGGGACCCAGCTCAGGACTTTGGGAACCACTGCCAAGTCTGCACCCTCTAATTTGCGATACAAATCAAAGGTGATGCAGAACTGGGTTTTTTATTAATTCATTTCTCACCAGGCTTTCTAGGAGTTGCTCTATTGAAGGGGGGTGGGGGTGGGGGCCTTGATCGAATTTAGTAAAAATATAAAAGGTGGTGGGGGGGGAAGCTGCTAGAGTCTGCACAGGGGACCCCTGCTGGTGTGTAAGTGCCTAGGACACCAGCATCTACCCTTGCGGTAGAGAGTGCGGGTGATGAGGGCTCCTGGGCTCATGTAGACCCTTCTGGAACAGCTAAGGAACGCCCCGGGCAGAGCAGGACAGAAAGCCATTCCTTCCACAGACTCCTAGTTCTGGGAGAATCAGACATGAGCCCATGGAAAGTAATTTTAACACGCAGTTCTAGCCTTGAAAACAAAAGGAAAATATGAGTGAATTGTGATAAATTCTATTCTCCGTGAAAACCCACCCCGTCAAACGGCCGAGCTGCGGTGTAGCAGCCGGGACGCACCGCGTAGGGTCAGGGCGGCCCCTAGTGGCAGATGTGCGAACTCAGAGATTTGAAAGCTAAAACCAGAGACGGAAAGTTCTTGTTACTACCTTGTCGCTGATGTATCTTGTGATGAGTAGTTTACAGGTTCAAATAATATAATTGCTAAAGGTCTGGTAAAAAAAAAAAAAAAAAAACACACAACTAACACGATTATCCGTGTATCACAGAGTCACCGTGAAGCAAGATAAATTCCAGATGCCCCCAAAGCTCCATTTTGCCTTTTGGGAAACTGAGTCCAGGGTGGATACAAGGGCTTTTTTGCACACTTGCCGTCAACTAGATTCACAAGTGAGAGAAGCGCCAGCCTGAGTCTGGGTCTCCTTACCTGCCTAGAAGTCTCCCTCTGGGGTGCGTCCCTGAAAGTCACCCGTGGCAGGGGCTCTGCGGTGAGGCTCCCTCACAAAAATACCTGAAACTTGGCACCTTAAGGCCTCTGTGCCTTTGGCAGCTGATCACGGGGGCTGGGAATGCGTTTCCCGTGGTCATGATGGAAGCCCGAGTGAGTGGCTCTTGATGGAAAGAGCCTAGGGAACTATTTTTAAAAATCCGGTTTCAGAAGAGTGAGGGCAGATGGATGGTTCTTGTCAAGTGTTTTTGTTTATCCGAGGCAGAGGACTGCCCTTCCCGTCAGATGGGCTGGCGTGTGTGGGCGAGAGGCTGGGCCGGGTCCAGGTACCGCAGGGCATCCAGCGTTTGCATGGGACACGCTGTAAAATCCACGCCTTACTGTCAGGTGTAAACACCCAATTTGTCACTTCCAGGTGGCCGTGTCAGAGCATCATGCCTTTTTACAAATACCCGTAGTGCCTTGGCATCAGGAGGCTTCCGTGTGGTGGGAAAATCAGACCTGGGCAACCTTGAGAGAGTTAACCCCCTTTATCTGTAAAATGGTGACAATAATACCATGTTCGTGACAAGTGGGTACTTAGCGTGTAAGAAGTACTCAGCACTACCGTTTTCTCTGTAAGAGATCCCACAACTCCCCTGTTACCGAAGCCCCCCAAATAGCCACAACTCTCTATTTGTGTATCCACGTTATAAGTCACGTGTGGGTCTCAAAAAAAGAAAGGAGAATCCCTCTTTCCATTTCTTTACCCTCTTGCCCTCTTTAATTTTATTTATACATCACCTACAATTTATATACTTGTGAATAAGTATGAATCTACATAATTTGCATAATTTTTATTTTTGTGTGTCATTATTATATATTCATTTCATATCATTAGCATTTTATTATTTATTTTATTTTTAAAGATTTTATTTTATTTTTAAGTAATCTCTACACCCAGCGTGGGACTTGAACTCACAACCCTAAGATCAAGAGTTGCTTGCCCTCCGGACTGAACCAGTGAGGCGCCCCCACATTGTTAACACTTTAGATGAATTAACATTTTTTCTTTCTTTCTTTCTTTCTTTCTTTCTTTCTTTCTTTCTTTCTTTCTTTCTTTCTTTCTTTCTTTCCTTTTAAAGACAGGTATTTAAATTGTTTCTAGTCTTCTCTTTACAAAACAAATTCTTCCCTTTATTCCAGTTTAGTTTAGTTCTTACCAAGTGCCTGGTGATCAGTCAGTATTCAATAATTGGATACGTGGGTGTCAGTTACCAAAGGCATGCCTTATATTGTTGGAATTCACCAGTCTTTCTTTTTTCTTTTTCTAAAAATTTTCTTTAATGTTTATTTTTGAGAGAGAGACACACACACACGGAGTGTGAGGTGGGAGGGTCAGAGAAAGAGGAAGACACAGAATCTGAAGTGGGCTTCAGGCTCTGAACTGTCAGCACAGAGCCTGACCTGGGACTGGAACTCACAAAGGTGAGATCAGACCTGAGCCGAAGTCAGACGCTTAACTGACTGAGCCACCCAGGCGCCCCCCACCAGTCTTTCTTGATGTTCCAAAATCATCCTTTTGAGTGTCCTTCTCAGAAATGTAAATCAGAACTTCCTGTACAGTTAACAAGAGAGCTGGTTTTTATTTATTTTTATTTTTTAAATGTTTTTTATTTATTTCTGAAAGAGTGAGAGAGATACAGCGTGAGCAGGGGAGGGTCAGAGAGAGAGGGAGACACAGAATCTGAAACATGCTCTGAGCTGTCAGCACAGAGCCCGATGCGGGGCTCGAACCCACAAGTCGTGAGATCATGACCTGATCCGAAGTCGGACGCTTAACCAACTGAGCTACCCAGGCGCCCCGAGAGCTGGTTTTTAAAATCCTGTGAATCCCAGGCACTCCAAAATGGGGCTTCCCTCATTATACCCCCTTTGTGAAAATGACTTCTCCCAGACAGATGTAGAAGGCCATACTGCCAAGACCCAGAGAGTTCTTCTACACTCAGTTTCATCTTAATCCTCATAAGTTTAGCGGTGTCTCTGAACATTCCAGCAGGCTTGCTAGAAGGTTCACTCTGCTCATCCGAGGCTTTTAAAGTTTTAAAATCTTGGGATGAATAGACTCGACTGAACGTAGGTGGGGATATGAGACCTGGCTGGTGGTTTTGGAATTTCCACTGCATTCATGTTAGCTGTCTCTTCTGCCAGGCAGCCTCTGGCCTTGTGAGAAGGAATCATTGGAGAAGAGGGAAGAAAAAACCAAATACTCTGGTTGCAGTTAGTGCAATAATTAAATGGAAACCTATGTTTAAATTGCAGCTGGAATGGAAAATTAAATTATGCAAAGGAGTGTTATGGATTTGGACAAGTTTTCATACTGTTAATAAATCTATGCATAATTCATTTTCTTGTAGGCTACGACAAAATAGCATAAATAACTTCATTTGTAAGGCTGTGAATTTTTCTATTCTTAATTGGGTGATGGCTAAAACCATTTAAACGCTTCTGGATGGCTGAATATATAAATGTTGAAAATGAGCAGTTATAATAGGTTTCTAGGCAGATTTGTTTATTTAATATTACTACATTTATTTTCAGATCCTAGTGTGGTGCAGATGTTGCATAAAAATTTACCCAATATGGTGTGAGTTTGATATGATTTTTAAGAAAAAGATATTAACACTGCTCTTGGAGGAGATACTCTGATCCTTCCTGAATAAATACTGCCTGATAAGCACTGCGCTAGTTATTTTATAAATGTTACCATTTCCTTCTCGTGATGGACCCGAAGGCAGGCACGTCGGTCCCTCTCCACTGCTGAGGAAACAGGGTCAAAGAAGGTATGAGCTGGTCAGCCCAGGGTCCCGTAGGTGGTTAGTGGCTGAGCAGTGGCTCTGAGCCAGGTACTCTGCTCTCTAAACCTTTCATTCTTTCTATACCTGCGGAGCCTCGCACCTTATGCACGCAGGTGGGTTTAGCATCCGAGCATCCAAGAAACCAAGGTGGGCTTGTCAGGAGGCAGTTTCTTGCTGTAGCAATGGCCACGCAGTGGCTGAGTGTGAACAAAACTGTTTGGTGGCTGCTTGTGGTAGCCACTCCTGTGGTGGTTATGTGACCCCCCCCCCCCCCCCCCCCCCCCCCCCCCCCCCCCCCCCCCCCCCCCCCCCCCCCGCCAGGAGCTGTTTTTAGGTCAGTGACGGGAGCCCTTGAAACCCAGCCTCACCTTCGTGGTAAGGAGCCTGCTTTGCACATGCAAGGTCTTCATCTCCAGAGGCGCTGCCAAATGTGTGATACTTGGTGGCTGCCTTGCCGGGGTGTGGTCTTAGGTCGCTTGTGTTCGGGGCACTCTGGATTCGTGATCCCCAGGGAGCGCGGCAGTCACTGGCGAACGAGTAGGGATTTGAGGATTTTTACAAGCACAGCGTGCGTCTCCTTGGATGACGGCACCTGCGTGTTCACGGTGACCGCTGGTTTAGGAGGTATTTCTAGACTGGCTGTTCGAGCCGAGGGCTGTCGTGATTCCTCAGCCAATAGGTAGTTGCTGATTCTTCCAGAAGGCACAGAACCAGAGGACGGTAAGGCAGCGGCTTGCTGGCTTCCATGACCCCATTTCTTCCTCTCTGCAATGGGGCGAAACAGCGCCTGTCTCCCAGGGTTGTGAAGGCTGAAATAATTTTATGGAGTGTCTGGTACCTATTACATATTCAGCACTTTTTAGCTATTATTTTAATTTTTCTGCCTCTGTCAGACCCTTCCTCTGGCACTAGGAAAAGTAAACGTGGATGTTAGGACGGAGACTGGGGAGTCAGCAGAATGCATTCATCTCGCGCCCTGTTTATTACCACTGGCGGGTGACTTGAATGGACTAGGATTTGCTTTGGGATTTCATTAGCCAATGGTAAGGGTCTAATCTTTTGCCACTTAGGGAAATGATCGTCAGTCCAAGTCAACAGTTGGGTCCAGTGACAACACATCCCCAACGCAGCCCCCGAAGAGGAAAGGGAAAAAAGAAGAAGCGAATTTGGAAAAACCCAAAAAAGGGAAACAAAATGTGAAGTTAAAGAGTTCATCACAGATAATTCCAAACAGTGGTAAGTTTATCCTTGCTATTATGACACTGTTTTCATTGATTCTCCTCTTAAGGCTGTGATACGATTTTAATTCTTAAATGGTTCCGTTTGCTTCTCTGGACCCACAGAAGATACCTCTGACCGCCATGCGGGAGGGTTTTCCGAAAATGAATTTCTGTGTACAAAAGACTCTTCTGTTTTTCCTGCTAAATTTCTGTTTATAATTAGAGGTTGTGTACAAGGATACAGGTTTTGAGGTAAAATATTTCTGTGGCGGACTTGTATCAAAGAAAAAGGTAAACTTTGTCATCCTTTTCTTCTGTTGAAAGTTTGGTTGACATTTTTACCAACTACTATTGACATTGGTCTCTCTCTCTTGTGTGTCTACAACTCTCGTCCACATCGATCATGAGTTACTGTTACTCACAGATCCCTTTCTCCAAAAAGATGTTTAACTAATTTTGCTGATATCTAAGAGGACACTACAGAACTTCACCCGTAGACAGTATGTGCCCAAATTGGTTCTGTATCTTGCATTAGCAGGTGAGAGATGCCATAAAATAATTAAAAAAAAATGTTCATCCATGCGAGATTTGTGCAATCACAATGGTGAACTTTCACGGTGGTTTTTGGGAAGATGGCTCTTTGTGGTCTCATTCCAGGCGTCGTGTTGGCGGGGCAAGCCCGCGGGCGTGGCGGGGTGGCCAGGCGGAAGGTCTGCTCCCCTCTCACCCCGGGATCCACCCTCACACTGCAGGGGGTCAGGCCGGGCACCCAGGAAGACGGGGGGATGGGCCGTGGTTTGGGGTTCATGGCCGGCTGGGAGCGTCAGCTTATTTCGAGGTTGACGTGAAGAGTCATGTTAGAATTCCAGCTGACGCGGGTCCCACGGCTGAGAGGACACAGGGACGTGTAGGGGTTCAGAGCACGTGCCGCAGGTGGTGGAAGAGTCCTCAGGAAGCAGCGGGGGACTAGCGGAATGGGCTGCGTGACTGAGCCAGTGACAGACGGGAGGGGACGGAGGGGGCTTGACCTCTTCAGAGGTTTCAGTGACCAGCTGGGGATGGGAGTCCTGGATTCTGGTGATGGTTCTGCTGTGGACCTCGGTCAAGGCTCTTGACTTTTGGGGACCCCAGCAGCCATCTGCATAGTGTGGGTTCATATTAAGATTTTGCTTTAGGGGCACCTGGATAGCTCAGTCAGTTAAGCATCTGACTGTTTTTTTTTTTTTTTTCTACTTTATTTATTCGGAGAGAAAGAGAGACAGATTGTAAGTGAGCAGGGAGAAGCAGAGAGAGAATCCTAAGCAGGCTTCTCATGGTCAGCACAGAGCCCGATGTGGGGCTTGAACTCACACCATGAGATCATGACCTGAGCCGCCCAGGTGACCCGACAGATGTCCATTTTAAAGACTTTCGATTTAGTTGTTTCTAACAGGAAAGGGAACCTTTATCTTGTTTCCCATCTGCAAAGACCTGGAATCACAAGGCTGTGTCAACACTTCCCTCTTTTGCTGGAAAGTGACCTTTATTAAAGAGTTAAATGATCAGGGGCGCCTGGGTGGCTCAGTCGGTTAAGCGTCCGACTTCAGCTCAGGTTATGATCTTACTGTTCATGGTTTCGAGCCCGGCGTCGTGCTCTGTGCTGACAGCTCAGAGCCTGGAGCTGCTTTAGTGTCTTTGTCTCCCTCTCTCTCTGACCCTCCCCTGCTCATGGTGTCTCTATCTCTCTCTCAAAAATAAATAAAATAAAATATGAAAAAAAAGTTAAATGATCAGTATTTTTGCTTTTGTAGAAATTTGCGGTTTCCAGCAACAATTGTACCTGTGTGTGGTTGAATATAAACCGTTGAATGTTGAAGTGAGTTATTTTTTTTTTAAAGCGCCAAGAAAAGGTAGAAGCCTACGGTGTTCTTCCCTCGTGTTTGGAGAGCCTGGCTGTTGTTTTAGAGAACTACCCATTTTAAGTGTTGATGTTCTGAGGACATTTTATTATTTTATTGTTATTATTTTTTGAATGTTTACTTACTTTTGAGAGAGAGAAGGAGGGAGGGAGGGGTAGAGTGAGAGGGAAACACAGAATCCAAAGCAGGATCCAGGCTCTGAGCTGTCAGCACAGAGCCCGATGTGGGGCTTGAACTCACCAACTCTGAGATCATGACCTGAGCTGATGTCGGATGCTTAACCGACTGAGCCACCCAGGCGCCCCCTATGACATTTTATAACGCATGGACTGTAGGTTTCTAACTGTTAGATCTCATTGTTATGTGGAACAATGGCTGGTGTCTTTCAAGTGACAGTTTTGGGGAGTGGATTTTTTTGTCCCCAATAAGAAACCTATATGATCCATCTAAGTGTCTTAGGTACGTATAAGTGTACATTAAGAGTTGAGATGAAGCATTTTGTATCTTTTTATCTTGATAGAAAGAACATATAACCTGGAAAATGAATCTTGGCTTCCCAAAACAATTTTTTCCAGGGAAAATGAAAAGATTTTGTGTGGTTCACTAGATTAAATCATCACTTGACAATCGTAAAGATATTCGTGTTAAGTCTGTAGTTTTGAAAATTGAGCTATTTCCCCCTATCAGATATCCCTCCAGATGTCTTTGACTATCAAAATTTCCAGGTTATGATATTAAATCTCTCTCTCTTTTTCCATTCCTTAAGTCAACTTTCTTATTCATTTGCTATTGCAATGGCTTTTTGCTTTAATGCTGTCTATTCTAGTAATTAGAACCAAGCCTTTGGATAGTCCTATTTCAAGGGGCTCTTATTCTCTAGAAAAGTAAAAGCAAGAGGCCCCGTAAGCAAAATGAAGGTCCGTGGTTAGTCAAGGTGAGTACAAAATGCAAGAATTTAATGCCATAGTGCATATTTGAAAGTTGCTGAGAGAGTAGGTATGAAAAGATCTCATTACAAGAAAAAGTCTTTTTTTTTTTTTTTTTGTAACTGTGTATGGTGACAGATGTTAACTACACTTATGGTGATCATTTTGTAACTTATACAAATATCACATAAAACATACAAGCAAGAATTTGATGTTAAAGATGAAAGTTTTTTTTTTTTTCTACTTAGTAGTATTTTAAATTTGGAATTAAATAACTGACTTAGTTTTCTTTCAAAGCGTTACATTTTAGAGTGAGGATCAGTTCATCTCCTATCATACGTTAAATTGTGTACATTTTTGATCCAGGGTTTGTTACCCATATTCTGTTCTCATGTTACTTCCAAAAAACAGACTTGGGAGGCTATTTTGATTTTTATTGTGATTCAGACGGTAACGTACATGTTGTCTTTCTTTTACTGTTGATGGTTACTGATGCTCTGGTGTCTGATGCTGTGTGAGCGAGCAGTGCTGATGTCTGTCTGTAGATGGCAATCTGGCTCTAATTTTATGTCTTTTGCGTTTACTTTTCTTTCTCTGTTTTTTTTTTTTCCTTTCTGACTCTGTTTCTTTCTATAATCGTAAAGCTTAATAATTCAAGCAGAGCTGTGACATATTTCTTCAGGGAAACAAATCCCATTTTCTTTTGGTAGCCGAGATGCAAACTAAGATTGGTTGGTGATTGATGAAGTTGGGTGTGAAATGCATTTTTAGTGCCACATTTAAATACTGGCTTCCCTGGCCAGTGTGTTTTCCGTCCGCTTTCCACTTGACTTGTGGTGCCTGGAGATAATGTTTCAGAGCCTGTTAACTAGCTACACTTTCTACCATGAGCAAAGCAGTAACGATGATTGTTTTGAAATAGTATTTGGGGATTGATTATATTCATTGATATTTTAAATATTGTCTGCATGAAGAAAAATTACTGTCTTTAGAACCATTGGGACACAGCAAGTATAGTGAATTTAGGGCTTCTTAGAAATCTCAGACAGGCTGCCAAGAAAATAGCCTGGTCCATGTTGCTCTCACTTATGTGGTGCTGACAATTGTAAACACTTCTTTAAAGCAGAATTTTCAAATGTAAGCAAAAGCCAGACTTGCTTCTTTCATACAGTGTTTGATTCTCTTTCTGTTTGCACGTGTGTGTGTGTGTAGGTGTGTGTGCGTGCGTGCACACACACACACACGCCCACACACACACACAGTCTAGAATCTTCTTGATGCAGCTCCCAGCTTGTTTGCAGCATCGTCCTGTGATAGTTCCTAAGGAATTTGCCACGTGGACTCCTGATGGGTGCTAGGGAGCAGGTGTGGTGCCGGGGGGAGCTGTGTGACGTCATGACCTTGCTGGGCGACTGCCCTTGAGTTTTCTAACAGCTACAACCTGCACACGGTTTGCTGCGCTTCCCCCAGCACGAAGCGTCCGTGCAGTCCGTCCTCACGGTCAGATCCAAGGCACTGGAACTTGAGCTGATGAATCAGCTGGGGCGCTCGCATGTGACTCCCGGTCACAGGAGGCTTTGAAGGGACAGGAAGGACATTTCCAGATGAGCTCCCCCGAGCCTCAGCCTCTGCGGGGGATCGTGCATTCGAGGAACGCATGTGAGAAGGAACCAGGGTGAGTTCTTGAAACAGGGTGCTGGTTTCGTTTGAGATTCTGTGGTAAGAATCAGGATTGCTCGGTGTCTGGTGCCGTCCACTCCCTTGTGACGGGAAACGCAGGCTTTTCGTTCCCACGTTGACGGTGACTTCCCTTACGGACAGTGTGGACATGGGATTGGCTCAAAGTTTACCACATGCAGTGCTCCTGTAATAAACGTGTGTAAAACAAGCGCTTCTCCACATCTCAGCGGCCCTCGTTGGCTTGACCTATGGTACAACAATTCTACTACAGAGGGGGTTTTAGTAATTTCTAGAAGTTTCGTTATAGGACCCAAGTCCTATTAATAAAATGTAGTTTAGGGATGTACAGTTTGCTGTTCACCTTAGTGCTGAGAGACTGGAAGATTTAAGTCTGGCTGAATACCAGTAAGATGTTGGTCTTTGAGAGGAGAATCTTTTTTTTTTTTTTTTTTTAAATGTTTTATTTATTCCTAGGAGAGAGAGAGACAGCGTGAGCAGGGAAGGGTCAGAGA